CCCTCCCCCACCCCCTCTCCTCTCCTCTCCTCTCCTCTCCTCTCCTCTCCTCTCCTCCTTCACTTCCTTCTCTTCCTTCTCTAAAGTACAAATTGGTGTGTCACTTTATCTATGCACATATAAACTAAAAATTTAAAGTTTCTGGAAACGGGAAAGCAAGTAGTTCCAAATTCTTATGTATGACATCTGAGATGCTACATTTTACTGTAAACATTTTTTATGTCTAAAAATATAACTTTTTTTCTGTTTTCACAGTGAATATATATGTGTGGGAACATGTGTGAGTGATGCATAGGTACACAAATATATATTTAATGCATAGGTATGTAGATAGATTTCTGGGAAGACAGTCTTCTGAAACGTTCGTTCTAGCTATGTGAAATGTTAAAAACCTGAAAAAGATAACCATTCAAAGAAAAATAGTATAGTTAATAACCTTCTCACAAACGTACTTAAAGTATTTAAAAAATTATCACAACTTTTAGCAAACAGTGCCATCTTGCACAACCGCTTCTAAAATAAAACTACATGCTAAGTTTAAACTGGAAATTGCATTGAGCTGCTCTATTTGTTTCCCTTTTTTTGCGATTTGGCTTTGTCAGGCCTTTGACTTTTGTAAGACGAATTATGAAGATACTTTAATTTACTTTTGTCACTTGTTTGTTTCCATTATTCAAAATGTACACTCTTGTAATATATTTCCAGAAGTCTTTAAGCTTTATTCATATCCCTGAATGATTATAGACAGACTTGTAACAACTGATGCCATCTTTCTTTGGAAGCTCTTAACAAATTTTTAACTATAAACACACGTGATAGTTAATTGCAAGATTGCTCATTAGTGTAGGCTTATTCGAATTGTTTTAATTTGAGCAGGCGCGTCTTAAAATTTTCATGTGAATTTCTGGGAGAATTTTCCAGCCCCAACTACAAATCTCTTGTTGAGCCTTTAGCCTACTTCCTCAGGGTGAAATTGTCTGGATGGTGTAGTCTGGCTGTATTTGTTTCTTTCCAGTGCCATCTACTGGTCAAAATTGAATTTGTGTAAGATTTTTTTGTCCTCGCATCTTAATAGAAGTCATACCACTTCCAGGCAGGGCTGTGCACTGTACAGTGTATGGTCAGAACTTGCTCCTTTAACATCAGTCATATAATGTATGGCCTCAAGCGATTGATGAAAGCTTGCCAACATCTAAATGTCATTGAGAACAACTTTCCTTTGCTTCTCTTGGTTTTTACTCTCTACCCTTATGGCTTACCCCAGAAGAGTTATCTCCTCCTTTCCTTCACAGTATCTTTCCAAGTTGACCGTGGCAAATGTGTAGTATGATAGTTAAGTTATGACATCCTTTATGCTAAATACTTTTATTTCAGGCAGTTTGAGATAAGCTAGAATTGGATAAGTGAGATTGAACACTCTGTAGAAAAAATAACTGAAGCTGCACAGAATACAACCAGATTTTTTGAAGTGCTGTTCTTTGCACAGTTAGCACAAATTGTTACTGAATTGTCACTAAATCTATTACCTCAGGGAAATAACTAATGTCTTTTTTTATGTTAAGTCATTGCAGCATGTTGAATGTACCTCTCCAAATTAGTTCTGGATTTTAATCTTTCTTTTGCTTTGATTTCAATGTCACTGTATGTGAAAGTTTCAACTTTTCTATCAGGACAAGAGATATTCTCTCCAGAATCAGTTCACTGTATTATCAGCTAAACAAGATGATTCTGAAGTTATAATGCTGATGAGAAATGCATAGTCTAAACTGTGATGTGTTTACACACTAATGACAGCTAGTGAAAGCGACAATTTTGTGATCTTGGTATGCTGACAGGCACAATTAAAATTCAAATTAACTTTCATTAAAGTGAGCAGATGTCCCTTTGTTTCAACAGCAATTGGAAAAGAATAAACTGACAATAATACAAATATTTAAATGAAGCCTAGTCAAATATTTAAGAAGCCATGTTAGAGATGGATAAATATTCACATTAATTTGACAAAATAGTAAGTTCTTTACAGTTCAGAAAGTTGATGAGAGGGTTTCCTGTGGCTTTCTAACACCTTGTCTTTCCCCTGCAGGCCAGGACACCAGGGGCATCAGAACAGGTGAATAAAAAAGATGCTAATGTTTGACCCAGTCCCTATCAAGCAAGAAGCCATGGAGCCTGTTTCAGTGGTAAGACTTTTAAAATATTTTAGCCTTTGTGATGACTCTCTAGTTTTTCCATTTTTAAATTCATACGAAGTTTTCTGTAAGCTTTGGATTAGCCTAGGAAAGGCTGTGAAGTTATATTTTGGTTTTAGGGCAATCAAATTTACATTCTAGGAAAACTTTTGCTGTAGTTCATGAATTTATTGCCCCTAAATGACCTGCCCCGTTACTCTGCTGGTGCTCCCATCCCCAGAGCAGAGGAGAGAACATGCAAGTACTCCTCAGCCACTGCAGTGCAAATATGATCTCATATCAGCTCATGCTGCTGATGGAGGTGGGTTGAAATTAAGTTGCCAGACTTCACGGTGAAGTGGCAAGTGCCTGTCATTTCGGTGTTACACCTTTGAACTAAATGAACAGCTGCTCACCGTCCCCTTTTCTGCTTCTCTCTTGGTCCTGAAAACATGTGCTGGGGCTAACTCTGCGCTCTAAACAGCAGAAAATTAATCCTGACAAAAAAGTAATGGCTTTTTGCTGGGTAAGCCGGGTGCATTACCTTACCGTGTGAACAGATGAGAACCAGGGCAGCGGAGGAGGAATGGGGGAAAAAAGGTGAAGGGGAGACTTTTCTTCTCAATTGGGTTAATTTTACATCGACTTGGTGTATAGGGTCATCTCAGAGAAGAGTCTGATAAGCAAGAGCAGCAGGAGCGTGTAGCTGGGAGGGGGACAGTGGGAATTGTGATGATTTAGGCTGCCAGGGAAATAGGGCCTTAGGAAGCAGTTTCATGTATACTTCACCTATTCAACTGCAGGCTGCTGCTGAAAGGGAAAGTTCAGGCTTTTCTCCCTTCTTTCCAGCTTTGTGTCTCCTTGGATCCTTTGGATCATCAGCTCATTGAACGGTCAGAATTGCTAACCAACCAAAAATACCCTCATTTTTTGGTCAGATCAGGAAGCTGATCTGACTCGTTCTGCAGCTGCTCAATGTGGAGAGGACAAGACTGCCCCTTTCAGCAGTAGCCTGCAATAAGATCAGATTAAGTGTAACATGAAACCACAGCCTTAGAAAGGCTGATCAATTAAAAGGGTAAAGTCAGTGTGCATAAATTAGAGTGCATTAAACTCATGCTCTGAATGGCATCTTTCAGTGAAAAGTTTGCTTCCTGTTTTATTTAAAATGTAGAATAATTGTCATCAATTTAAATGCATCTGTAAGCAGTCTGACTTCTTCAGTGTATCAGTAACACTTCTTGAGAGTTAAATTTATATGCATTTTAAAATTACAGTTTGACTTTCATGGGGTTTATTTACTTGAGAGCAATGATAGAAAAATAATTGATCTATCACTGAGGGTGTAAGTAGGACAAATTCCAATATTTGGGTAAAGAAAGAACCTTAGTATTGGCCAGCCTGTCTGTCACGTCAATCACAATTATTGCATAACCTTATTAAGATTAGTGGTGATGATCTACGATTATCAAATGATACCTAATGGTGTCCATCAAAGGCAGAAAATGGGCCACTTCTACAATACAAGCGTCACTACATGAATAACAGAAAATCACTATAGAGACAGTGAGGGTGTGGTGAGAATGCTTTTTGGTGCATTAGCTACTATTTGGATTAAATCCTATTCATCCTCTTACATGATACTGATTTGAGAAATAGTGTAAGTAGGTAAGCAGGTTCTTCACCTGTTTCTGTTTTTCCAAGAGGCTGGCTAAATTTTTAAGTTAAATTCATAGGGTTATGTAGTTTATACAAGACTTGGTGAATTGCTTCAAAATCTGTTCACTTGTACAACAAAGAAGATGTTTCACTGTGGTAGCATAACAGAATTTAGCAAATTAAATCAGATTAGTGCTTGATAATGTCCCCTTGTGGAAGCAGCAGTCTTCTGGGTGGTGATAGGTGTGCTTGTGACATATTGGGCCAGTCTTTATTCTTGACAGACTGTCAAGAGGAAGAGCATGGTGATTCTTCTTTTGGATTTATTGATAGCCACATGGATATGACTCAAAAATATTAGAAGTTCCTTTGATGTGTTTTCCAGTTTCTTTGTGGCTTCAGTGCTCTGGGTTTTATTATGGACAAAATGCAAGGGAAGGTAAATGAATTGCTTTGTAAGGCCCAAAGAGGTAGAGAGATGATATCAAACAAAAAAAGAGATAAATGGAGACTGTAAAGGAATACACGTTGAAATACAATCCTGCATCTTTATTGTGATATACTGCAGTGACATACCATTCTTTCTACACAGGGATATTTAGGAAAGCAGAACTTATAGGAAAGTGGGAATTTGTTGGTTTGTTTTTTTTTTTTCAATTCAAGTCAGACTAAACTCCTACATACACTGTTAATTCCCACAGTAGAAATCCAAGGAGAACGTATCAGCTGAAATATTTTAGGAAAACAGAGCAGTGATAGCTGGTTTTCCATTGTTCCACCAGAATACTTCGCATAAGTTCTAGGACAGGTGGGAAAAGACTGCTCTTGGAGGCTGTGAAGTACATTCCTGGTTCCTGTCCTTGTTCCTGCAGTTGTGGCATTTAGAAAGCCAAATGGTGGTAGCTAGGCTTTTATTTTTGTTTGTTTGCTATTGTTAATGCTCCCTATTTACAGAGAGAGACTGTGAAGTCTTCCTTATTCTCCCATCCCATATCCCGCAAGGGGTACTGTCTGCTTCCCTGGCAAAGAAAGGGAAAGTGATTTACCAAATTTGAAGGCAGTGGTTCGTATCAACCTAATGGCAATTGCTGTGTCCCGGGGAGCTAGAAACTGAAACTTTGCTATGCTAAAAGATACAGGAAGCCTAACTTCAGAACCAGGAGATAGATCTGACTGTGACTTACTCCAAATGAACAGGGTTTCAACCACACTTCATTGATAGTGAAGCAAAACTGTTTTCCACCAGAGAGTCTGTTTGGCAGCAGATATTCTCCTTTTCGTTGTCCTAGCATCCTTCTCAACTTTTTCACCTTTTTTCTTCCCAGTACAGATAATTTGTCGCACCACATTTTTCTATCACAACTTCATCTTCGGTTCAGATAGAAACATAGCAATTAAAATCGCAGAAGGAAGAAAAGTTTAGAAAAATGTTTCAGCTTCCTCAAACTGCTAGAAAAAATAGCTGATGTTAAATCTGTGCCAGCTTAATTACAACAATAAAAACCTTCTATGCAAAATAATGCAAGGCATATGGGGTAAAATACCAAGTCACTAAAATAATCACTTCTTAAAAACATCATTATTTTCTTCATAATTCTTGGAAAGTATTTCTTGCTTGTCTAAATATATTTTACTTAACTTTTCCAGTTTACAGTTCTCTGTGCAACGTTTTCATAGTTCGGTATTTTTTCAGCACACACAGCTGGTGTTACTTGAAGAGTTTAAAGAGGATAACTGCTCATACAGAAAAGTTACAGCTTGGAGATGCTTCGTTCTTTAATAGACTCGTTGACCAAAAACATTCCCTAAACTTTAAATTGCATAGTCTTTTTCCTTTCTAGTAGTCTTGCAATGGAAGAAATGTTTGTAGGTAGTGACCTTGTGATCATCCCTGACAAATCTGCAGCACTACAAACGCACTGATGCTTAGTGGTGGAACATAGACAGTTTGTTGAAGCTGAGTAGACTTCATACTGTAAACCAATAACAGCGATTTTAACAGAAGTACTTAATATCTCTTATGTGTTTAAATTTTGATTTTTTGCCTATGCCCATAACATGATCAGATTCAGTAGGTATTAAATACTGTTAAATATTAAACTCTGTCAATATTCAGTGGCCTTCATCACTTAGAATGCTAATAATTTCGTCACTTGGCTCAGCAGTGGTGGCAAATCTACAGAACTTGTTTTAGCCAGCACTGCTTGCAATAATAGCATTTTAATAGAATTCTGAGGAACCAATTACCATTGAAGGTGAACGTTTTTATAGATTGAATTTGTAAGAATAGTCATAAAGAGAGTAAATAAAGTTTCAGAGGTTTTAATGTAATATTTACTGTTTGAAGATTAATCACCATTGTGTATGCTGCTTTATGCGAGTGTTTTACGGAATAGGTGACTCAGCTTTGTTGTTTTATCACAGTGCTATGAATGCAGCAAGAAAATTTAATATTTTCTAAACTCACTGTTTCAAACGGTAACTGAAAAGAAGAAAAATACATTCGTGACATTTTGCAAAAATACTTCTAGTTAACGTTGACATTTAAAATCAACTAACTGTCCCTTACAGGGAAGACAGAGGTAAGAAACCAGGAAGATGTATTGCTAGAAGTTTTCACCACAAGAAAAAAATAATTGAAACGTCATGGAAATTATTGTATAAAAATACAATAGTTTTATACTTCTAATCTGTTTCATTTTCTACCATTTTGAACATTTTTTAGTCCCACTCATCAAAGTCTTCTTGGTGCCAAAGAATTCAGCGGTTCTTTAATATTACTGTGAAACTGCTTAGCCTTAATGTGAAGTTTTACTTATCTAGAATCCAAAGATAGCATTTTATTTCAAAAAATTCACAATATCTAGGGGCTGAACAATTGCGTGGATTGCATTTTCTATGTCTGCTATGTTAGAACATCACATTGGTTACCATTTTAAGTTATCTGTTAGTAAACAACCTCAGTTTTCAACACTTTTTAAATGCAAAATTGATCTGGATAGTTGTTTAATAATACTATACTCTGGAATGAATGTTAATACCTCTTGGTTTACAAAAATTATTTCTACTAAAATGTGGAGATGGTCATGTAGGTCAAGATTAGCTTTAGGTTTTGTATGATCTTGTAATGCGAACTGCTAGCTACCACTAACAGGAATATTCTTCCAACACACCAAATGTTTATCCTTGTACTAGTTTTCCGAAATCAGACTGGCTAGTTAGCTGCTTTATTTCTCAAAAAAAAAGAGGTTTAGAAATTACCTTTTGCACTCTTTGAGTTTCTCCCCCATTGCTCATATAGTTCAGCTGTGTATTTTTTATTGCTTTTAGGGTTCAGATACATAATTTCTTGCTTTAGTGATGATTGTTTTCCAATTCCTTGAGCGGTTGATGGGGACCCATTACTTGCAATTTTAAGTCTGGTTTAACTCCCCTCTTGCTTGACTTCATGTTCTTCAGTATATAGTTATATGCTGGGCATAGCACCATCTGTCTCCCAGGTCAGTTAAGTAATGTGCAGCTTAGTATATGAAAAGCAGTTTTTAAGGGAGAAAGAGAGTTGAATAAGCCTTGAAGATTTGTTTTCATCGTCTGTTTTACATTGCTTCTGAAACAGTTAGTGAATCAGTACTTGAATAACTTCCTTTGAGTGAAATCTTAGGCTTTATTTAATTCACTTTTATTTAGAAAGTACATTAATGTGCTTTCTTGAAACTTCTTCATTTTGCCTCAGTTTTATTAGCCGCCTTTCTTTTTCAGCAGTAATTGTGTGTGTGTTGATTTATTATTTGATTTTCTTTATTTTTTTCCCCTCCTGACAGTCATACCCGTCCAATTACATGGACCACATGAAGCCAAACAAGTACAGCGTCATTTATTCTACACCAAGTATGTTGCACAATAAATTCTACTCAAACCCCGAAGGACTATCAAATGGAATCCAGATGGAGCCAGTAGACCTTACGGTGAACAAACGGAGCTCACCATCTTCAACTGGAAGTTCTCCTTCCCCCCTGAAATTTCAGACTGTGCATAGGAGAACTTCACCTGGATTGACTCTGTCCTCACCCAGCTCACCTCTCAGTAAATTCACACCGTCACCCCCAGGAGTACAGCCTATCTCCATGCCAATAACAATCCCACCTGTAATGGCCGCTGCTCTTTCACGCCACGGACTGAGAAGCCCTGGAATACTCCCGGTTATACAGCCTGTTGTGGTCCAGCCGGTTCCTTTTATGTATGCTCCCCATCTTCAGCAGCCCATCATGGTGTCCACAGTTCTTGCAGATGAGATGGAAACTCCTAGTAGCATGCAAGGTTGGTGCTGTCAGAGCTTATTTTTTATGTCGTCTCATCCTGGGAAAATAACTGTCTATCCAAGCACTTTTTCGTGTGTTTTTTGCATTTTGGGAAACGGAACATAATTCCTATTCTTCTAAAATACGCAGGCATAGAATTTACTGTGTAAATATTTTACCACACTTACCAAGGTCGTATTTGGTTCTGATTTATACCTGCATTAAGCCATTTATCTAGTGAGACTTGGACTGATAAAAATGTTGGACTGATGAAAATTAATAGAATTGTTTTGAATCATAGTTCATCAGGAGATAGACTAAAACTGGAAGATATTGTATTTTAACACAAATTGCTGCACTAAATATAGAGCTGGGGGATTTCTTTCGTTTAACTATAGATTTCTACGTATATTTTTTATTTCCATAACTCTCCATATTTTTGATGTGTTGCCTTCCCTCTCCTACCCTCCTCCACACAGTGCCTGTCATTGAGTCTTATGAGAAGCCTACACTGAAGAAAACAATCAAAGTAGAGCCAGGAAGTGAACCATCGAAGACTGACTTCTATCCTGAACAAATGTCACCTCCAGTGATGACCTCATTGTCTCCCCAGCAAGTAATGTTGCAAGAGTAAGTAGCTAACAATAGTCCCAAGATCAGCAGAAGAACGAAAAGCAATTCATTGCAGCAGTTACCAATTTTGAGGAGTGAGAGGGAGTGTTGCTGTGCTTTAGAACATGTGATAGAATACAGAAAAACATCCTTCTCCCCACTGCCACTGTGAAATGTGATTTCAACTTTTTTTTTTCCCTCTTTAGCAATATAGGAGTTGATACATATTTATACATCGCAACCACATAGATCTGCCATTTATATAATGCGTTTCTAAAGTAATGCTAGTCCCAATCCTACAATTTACTGAAAGTAGGACTCCCAATAAGCCGGTGATACCTGTTTATGTAAAACCAGCAGCAAACTGGAAAGATACTGGAAAGATATTTCATACTGATCTCTGTATTGATGTTACCTAAAATACCTTTCTTTAAAAAGATTCACGTGACTTTCTTTTCCGGGAGGACCTCTTTGTCTTTTAAAAAATTTTGGGTACTTGGTGGAAAGAACCCCCTCAGGCCTGTCTACAAGTTCTGTATATATCCAGTGAAATTCCATGTTTACCTGAGGCCATTGTTCCGTGGGTGGGTTTTTTGGCAGCTCAAGTAGTTCCTGAAGCTCGCTCCCCTCCCAGGCAGTTGTTTCCACCCCAGTACCAACTCACGGTGCTGGTGCAGCTGTCACTGGGGCCACTGCATGAACTGGATCACAGATCTAATTGGGTTTAAAACAGTCCTGTTTGGAGAAGGCAGAGCAAGGGCTAGAAAGAAGAGGTTAGGTCTGAGGCAGAAACTTTTAAATGGAAAATACTAAAAATTTCTCAGGAAGTACCTGTGGAGCTTTGGGCACCCTTCCATTTCCCGTTTTCCTACAGAAAATTCTGTCAACTTAGCAAAATCAGGGAATGGCCCGGAGCCGGCTCATCCTTCAGCAGGCAGTGCTCTGGGCAGGCATGCAGGCTGCCGGCAGGGCTCTGGCAGGAGCTGAAGCTGGGAACCGAGCTGGGCTCACGGTACATGACCTCAGAATCCATTCCTGCCCTTTCTCCCTGCTCACCGTCACCCTCCGAGCAGTTGTATGAGACCTCACCTCCTAGGGTGGCGAAGAAGGGCTCCAAGCCAGACTCCCCAAACCAGTGCGTGAGTGCGGGGTGATGCAGAAAGAGAGGGAAAGCATGGGACAGGCGGTCTTCCGCATTTCCTTCGGAAGGCAGCCTCTTCCTCCTGCTCACGACTGTTCCCAAGTTAGAAGGCTCACTGCGGCTCCAGGGCTTACTACACTCTGCACAGCCTTCTTGTGGGCACCGCTCCGTGTTTTCAAGTCTCTTAACCAGCTTAGATGCAGGTTCTAGACTGCAGGCTCTTTGCAATTAACTAATTGCCAGCTAGCTTTTATAAACTGTATGCTGTTTATTTAAAAATAACCTTATATGTTGTATTGCAATAAACATATAATAAAATAGTAAACGTCTGTGTTTACTAAATGGTTACTAATCTTCCATAATGGACCTGCCACACAAGGGAGTCAGGTCTGTATGTACTTGGAACTAACTCCTGCTAGGTCAGGACTGTCAAATGGTTCAGTTTACTCTTGTTCTTTGTTAGGCCTCTTTTAACAAGAGCAAACCAGTAACTGCTGTTCCTGGCCAATACCACACCCTTCCCCCAGGGCTGACACTTCTGCAGACTTGTCACCTGCATTAGTGATTTGCATTAATTATTTCCCAATGAGTCCGATTTCCACAGGAAACCCATCCGCTGAGCAAAAAATGTAAATTTTGGTATAACATGTAGGTAGCATTGTCACAAAAGACATTTGAATAATCCATCATTCCAAAGCATCTCCTTTGCTTGCCCATGCAGAGCATTATGTTTATGGAGACCCTGTCCTGACATTGTAATGGCTTAAATTGCTTCCTAGCTGTCCTGTAGAGCTGCAGTTCTTGCTCTTTCCTAAAGCCAGCCCTTTCAAGTTCACATTCTGCTATATCCGCAACAAGAAGTTTGTAAGTGGTAGTTTTTCTCTTTCTATCACTTAAGAAAACGCATAGACAGATCACGCAAGTTACAAGATGAGAGACCTAGACCTTTATAAAATTTCCTTTTGTCTCACAGCTTCATCAGCCTCTGTCTTTGCGTTATGAGCTATAGTTAGGCAATGATTTTTTTTTTTAATCATTTTTCATAGGTTCCAGCTGCCCAAAGTGCACTGTTTAGATACGTAAGCTACATTAAAGGGGCATAGGAAACCTTCAGTCTCACTTTTAAGTGACTGGTTTTGCTTTAGTGTTAGTTTTTGGCATACACATTATATATATATATAATGTTGGTGGAATTTCTGTAGGGATTGCTGGACTTTCTAGTATGTCTGATAATCGATGTAACTATGCAGTTATTTCTAAAATCAAACTTGAGGTAATAATCTCTGACCAAATATAAGAAGGTTCATTAACGTTGTATTTTCGTGTGAGTGCAAGTGTCAAGTCTAACTCATGCTGTCAACATAGCGTGGTCTGTTGGTAAAGAAGGTGAAAAAGCTGTTGAAATTTTAACATGACTTTTGGAAGGTGCTTATCTATTAAAGAATGACATTTCAGTCGTTAGCCTTAACGTGAATTTGTATCTGGTTGTGTAAGAGGGAACGAAAGAATTAGGGCTGTACTATTATTATTGGCACTTACTTAATATTTACCTCTGATTTTTGACACTGCCTTAAGCATTTTCTAAAACTGCCACTCCCTACCTGATGATTGATAACATTCTGTAGTCTTGCCAGCCTCCTTCCCTCTAAAGGGAAAATGAGACAGAGATGAATTCTCAGCACCTTTTTTACACACTCTTAGATTGAAAACCATCACAAACAGTGTACAGCCAATACCCTTTTTCCAGATATTACCATGTCCAGGACTAGCCTCCACACATAGGGATTTAAACCAAGTTTGCTTGCTGTGCTAAGCCAGAGCTTCTCCAAAAAGACTAGCATGCAACAGCGTTAAAACTGAGCATTGCTTTAGCGAAGCATTTCTTTGGAAGCTAAAAGCCTGCCTTTCTTCTTTGAGAGTATGTACATCTGTGTCTAACATCAGCATCTGGGGTGTCCTGCCATTACGGTATTTTTAGCTAGATTTAATGTGTACTTGAAGAGTACATCACTCAGCAGTCTCAGAAACACCCAAGAAAGAGAATTTGGCTCCCCATTTCAAGCTTGTAACTCTAATAAAAGAATTAATAACAAAATTAAACTTTACCCACATTGGTAATTCCCATCCTGCTGCTGTGGAGAGTAATAGAAAATTTTTTTCTTGTTAAACCACACACAGGATTTTCTTTGCTGTGCCTGGTAAGACTCCTTCTATTTGGTTTTAACCAAAGGACCTTTAGCACATGCCCTTTATTTTGCTGAGAGAAGTAGGTATTCAGTGTTTCTGAAAATTAGGCCCTAAAGGAACTTGGTTTAAGTAACTAATATAACCTAGTGTTACAAAACGTAATTCTGTCAGTAAAGAAATGTGAAATACAGTAACTGAGAAAAGACAGGAGTTCTAGAAAGCTTACTTCTGTCACATGGAGGAACTGGTTTTGCAACCAGGAATGCTATCTGCATGTTATATACTAAGTCTCAGTTAAGAGCTAAAAAATGTATTAAAATCACTGATACAGATCTGCTAACGGGTTGAAAAATGCAACTTTGTGAGGTTGCAAGATTTGTAATGCCACTTACCTTTTTGACGAACATACTTATTTCCTTTTTCTAATATTGACATGGAAGAAAGAATCAAGGTTGTTCCCAGTTCTACAGTAGGGGCGTTGTTCAAACCTAAATATCCACCGTCAGTGACACCTTTCAAGAAGCTTAATGTGTTTTCACATGCACGAATGTTTATGGTTTTGTTTGTTACAGCAGTCCATGCGTAGTTAGTACATGTCTTACCTGCACTGTACCTGTGGGCTTCAAAAGCAAAAAATTATGTTTATGAAGGTGGAGGGACAACTTCAGACATCCTGTGGGTGTGCCACGGAGGCTAAACTCTACTTTTAGGAATTGACGTCAGTGGTATAGGGAGGCCGCACCCTCCCGCCAGCACCAAACAGGAAATTCTTAATTACTCTCTAAAGGAGTGGCTGGAACAATAAAGATTGAGTTCTGCTTTGAAACCCTAAAGATACAATTTCTTTAATAATATGGAATAGCTGTTCCCAATTACAAGCAAATTAGTTACATTTGAAGGAAGAAGAAGAATTGTGAACAAATACAAGAAAAGTTCGCTATGAACTCAGAGTTTGAGAAATCTGGATTTGACTGTGAAAAACAGGAATTTGAAGGGGGTTTTTCCTTTGTAAGTTTAAAAAAAGCTGGGGAGTAGTAAAAATGGCTACATCGTGCCACAAAGTGAGTAAACATTTTAAAATATTGCTGCTAAAATACACAAAATTTGCTAAACCGTCTTGAATTTTTCGACATGCATGTAATGTTGTTCTTTCTGCCAAGAGACAGAGTGGTAGAGAATAAAGGGCTCTGTCATGAATCATATTAGCTGAGGTTTGCTGTGCTAAATGTTTTTCGTTTTTAACATTCAGTTTGACTTTGCAGGAATCACCCTTCAGTTATAGTTCAGCCAGGAAAGAGACCTTTACCTGTGGAATCTCCGGACACGCAAAGAAAACGCAGAATACATCGATGTGATTATGAAGGCTGCAACAAAGTCTACACTAAAAGCTCCCATCTGAAAGCTCACAGAAGAACCCATACAGGTTTGAGCGTTGCTATGCTTTTCTTTCATCAAGTCTATGGTAAAACAGTAGACTAAGCTTTTAGTTTGTGCTAATGGCCAGGTGACCACAGGTGTAAATAACCAAATGACAGAAGTTAGATCTGGCATTGTTCTGAATATAATTATAGGCTGAGCAAAAGACAGAGGATGTAGCAGGAAAAACCCACAACAGGAGACTGTAAGCCAAAGCAGGATCACGGTGTATGCTGGTATGCTTTACATTCACTGGCTCTTCGCTCATTTTCTGTTCAGTTGCTTGCAGATTACTCACTCCGCACACCCTGTAAACACCAAATCAGTTCAAATTGCACTAGCTCACCTCTTACATCACTGTTAAATTTGACTGAGCTTCCATGGGAGTAGCCCGTTTGCAAAAGTCTGGATGGTGTGCCAAATACAAACACATCTGCTTCATGTGGACATGCTAATCACTGGGCTCTTTTCTGAGTGAGTGTTCCAATAAACATATCCCCATCTCTGTTCTCCGCAGAAACGTTCATCTTGGCATGCTGAGTGAATATATGTACATCCAAGGTTTTTACAAAGAGATGGGACACTTTTAGGTAAAATGGAGCCCAGTTCAGGTCTGGCTTACGTCTCTATACAAGCCAGCCCTTTACCTGTTGGGCAGCATAATGGTGTTAAGGAGAAGGAGGATCACGTATTAGAAAGTAACAATGGAGCGAGTTTTTAAGTTGAGCTACTTGTGACAGTGGTGCCAACTATTTATACTACAGTAACTTTTAAGATGTCACAACGAGATTTCTACCTGCTGTGCTGAATGGTAACACCAGTCCTTTCCCCCGACTAATCTAACAGGTCCTGGTTTTGAACATTCTTGAGCAAATGCTTAAACATTCACACTTCTGGGCTTGATGAGACAAAACAAGTGCTAATATGGCACAGAGAGGAACAGAGAGACATCAAAAAAATCATTTGTGGCAGGAAACAATTTTTTGATCTGTTAACTTCGACTACACATTTTCTAGCGCAGAGTACTCTGCAGCCTGGTCCTGTTTGGGGGCTTTATGAATAAGCATCAAAGTACTTGCTAAAATGGGGACAAAGCAAGAGGATAAATCTGTCAAATATTTAACTGATTTGTTTGTGTCTTAAATCCTGACTTCTGTGTTTCTTTTTCCAGGTGAAAAACCATACAAATGCACTTGGGAGGGATGCACATGGAAGTTTGCTCGTTCTGATGAACTAACGCGGCATTTCCGCAAGCATACAGGAATCAAACCTTTTCAGTGCCCAGACTGTGACCGTAGCTTTTCACGTTCAGACCATCTTGCTCTTCACAGAAAACGCCACATGCTAGTCTGAATGTCTTCTGTCCCCGACCTCTGTCACACTTTTTTTTTTTTTCACACATGCATTTTAATTTGGATTCAGCTGGTCTGAATCTCTGAGTTTATACCATTAAAAGCTTACGTATGGTCAGTAACAGATGTTATCTAACCCTTCTATGTCCTTGCCACGGGTCAGACCTAAAGAATGTGAACGCTTTTTTTTTTTTTTCTCCGGGGGATGCTAAGCAAACCCTTTCTACAGACAGTATGTTTAATGTATTCCATTGTGAATAAGGGAATTTGTAAACTAAAAGCTCTTGTTGGTTTCCTCATATAAGCAACCCAGCATATACTGATAAAGTAGTAAATGTTCCTGAATATCCAAAATGCTAGTCCTTGCCAGAGACTTTTATTTATGTGTCCTGTAAAGGATACACTCTCATTTTATGCTCAACAATGCAATGAATGGACTCTCCCAACTGTGTTGATTTCTGCAATATGGTTAATAACAACAGTTTTAGAAAGGCACCTGATTCAGAAATCTCCTCTGCCCGACCAGTGAATAACACTGTAGAAATAAATCTAAGCAATATAATTACTTTACAGAAAGATTGAGTCATGGTATGATTTACCCCAGTCAAGAAGAAAAATTGGCAGGAATTGGTCTATACATAATATTGTGCATCTAAACCAGTGTCCTCTGTCCTCTGTATTATAGTGTAGTGTATATATCCTTGTTTTTATTGCATAATGCCCTGGTGGATTTGTTAAATGAAGACCTTGTGTGACGCTCTATGTCTGGTTTCTGTGCAAGTGTATGGATGGAACACACACGGTACTCTCCTATGACATGGCATTAAATGATACTAATAGAAACCTACCACACCTCATTTCAGGGATACAGAGCAATCCCGATGCAATCACTCCCCTACATTTCCTCTACTCTAAATATTTTTTCTTTTTGCTGTACCTCAGAAAATAGCAATCGTTATGTTAAAAATGCTCCAAACTGTGTTGTTGCGAGTGCCACTTTAATACACTACAGTATTTAAAATTACTAGTCCACAATATTTTTACAAGAAGATGGCATCAGATATGAAGCGCTTCTGATGATAAATTGAGTTGTGTGTCTGTTTTGGATAAAAACGTATACAAAGTCATCCATTTGATAACTCTGATTTGTGACTGGTAGTCTCTCAGCGCTAGGCAGCCTAGGCTTTCCTGTGGGTATGTCTATTGCATTAAAATACCACATCAGCAAGTCTTAACTCCCATGTCAGTTAGCAAACAGAACTCGATAGATAAACTGAATTCAAGCAACCTGCAGTTGACCCTAGAAAGGTTCCTGTCTCTGGGAGCCTGCGGAAAGGAAGGTTTCTGTCTTTATTAGCCGGCAGACTTTGTGGCACTGCAAGGAAACGAGATGTATTTCTCTAAGCTGTCGTGTACCAGGTGCATTTTTTTCTGTTCCCCTACGTAAGGTAAACACCATTCCCTGCAAATTAAACATACTGAAGTCAGCTTTTCGTTTCTCCTGGAAAAATCCACTGGAAAATGGAGGGGTGAGGGGAGGAGGAGTTTCATAAAACTCTCCAGAAGGAGGCAGGTGGAGCATCCATCTGCAGGTGGGTATATTTGAGTTTATGGGGCAGGTAGGCTGTGCTGCCAGACCCCACAGAGTCCAGCGGCAAACGGAAACCATCTTGCAGATGCAAGAGTTTGGAGTGCAAAGAGCCTTCCCTTGGTGAGAGAGTTTACCAGCTGTTCCGCTGGCTTCCACACACCCACAGGATTAGAGGAGAGGATCTGCACTTCTCGGAGAAAAATGCTCCTGCAGCGATTGCTGTGAAATGCAAAGTATTGTTCCAGTTGTGTAACAAATCTTGCATGTGGGAATATGGAACCGGCAATTTTATTTGAGGAATAGAGCCCTGAATGTGTGCTCTACAAAGGGGGGAATGGGGATTTGCAAAGCAGGGCTGGGAACGTTGCTGTAAAGCTTTTGTGAGGAAGATCCGTGTGCTCCGTGGCAGCACCATACATCCTCACCACTTCACCAGGACTGGGGGGAGTTGCACCAGATCTGTCTTCGTGTCACTGACTCCCATCTGGTTATCTATGGAGCTGAAAAACCTGGGAGATGAATCCGTCTTTTTTTGATTGGCTGGGTTGTTACTAACGTTGAGGAACTTGCAGGGAAGAGAATGATATTAATGAGCACTGTTCTAGAATGTGGATTTTTGTTGGATTTTTTTTATTTTCAGCAGTAGCGATACCATGTGGAGTCAGAACTGGCCGCCTTCCTTAGGCTCTAGGTTTTAACGGCAGTGCCGTAAATGCAGACACGTCACTGACTGGGAGGCTGTGTGGAGTCCCTGTAGCGCCCGTCACAAGTTACAGATACCTAGTATGCTGGGATGAAAACAGTTCTCCATCATGTTCTAGGGAAAAAAAGCAGATGAGATCCTATAAAAATAAGCAGCTTAATGGCAACTGATCCCATTTTAGCTTAACAAATGCAAATGCATAAAATTTGGAATGCTTAAGGAACATTTCTTTCCAGTGCTCTGTTTCTCTTTCAAGGCTTTCACAAAATGTTTTCTTTAATATATTGGTTTTCTTAAACTAGAAATCTAAAATCAAATACCCTAAGAGCAGAACTTCTTTGTAACTAAGCATTACTTTGGAAAATTTAATCTAGGTTATTTACCGTGTTCATTCATTAGCCTATTCACCTTTTTCCTGAAAATATTTACGCTAATGATGGGGACAAATACAGTGAAGATGCAATAAAACTTCTAAGTACCTTTATCCACGTGCCTTGTGATTTAGGACAACAGAAATCTAAATATTATAAGTATTTGAGATTATTTCATGCAAATGCCTTGTTTATAGGATTTTTCACTTGTGTCTGTGGTGTCTTTTTTATGGAATGTCAAAAAAGTCACAAACACGCTTACATCTTTCAGCTGAAAATGTGAATTTACATCTTAACTGGCTCATTGACTCATTTTAGCGAACTTTGATTTGAGGGGTACCTTGTAATTTTTAAATATACACAACTAAATACATTTAAAAAGCCAGTCCTTCCATCTTTGCCCTAAAGAGAAGCCAGTTTAGATATAAAGATACCAAACCCTAATCCTGCAGAACGTGTATATTTAAAAAAAACCCTTTTTCACTAGCAGTATTGCACTGTGCAGTGTGTAATGGGTAATACTGTTTTACTGAAATGTGCCTGTTTAAGCCATTCGATTATAATGAATTCCTAGTTTCTAAGACAATCTCAAAATGCTAAGCAGGTATTGCTGGGTGTGGTTTTATTTAAATATACACCACCATTCTGCAGTGATATTTCCAATGCCACATCTTGTCCAAATATGTTGTTGTCTCTGTCAAGATTAGCAACACGTAGATGAATACAAATCCTTTCTATGAAAAATGACAAAGCATTTTACATATCTTAAGAAGGCCACACCAGTTTTCATTCTATTTTACAGATATTAGCACTTTTTCTTAATGTACTTTAAATATTAGAGGGTCAAAATAATCTTTCTGCTTAGCATCTCTCCCCTGCCAGAATAGCAGGGATATTATATTTACTTTAATACTTGTGTAAACTATGCAGAAATTTTTTAATAAAATGTAATATATTTTATAAGCTAATAAAACTGAATGGGTAATTAAAGGTTTCTAGCATACATTACTATAACTTGCAAATATGGAGACATTTTGGTAATCTTTTCTTACTGAGGATGTGAATGTTTAATGTACTTTCACTGTTTCTACTTTGGTAGTCCAATGGGAATTCAGTAATGACATTTTGTCATGTCAAACTGTGAACATGAATTTGTACTGTACAGTCCTCATCCTATATTTAGTATACAGTGCATATGTATTATACTTGTTAATAAAACCCTCAGAATGTTGTTTGTGGTCATGTCATCATACGCTGTACGATGAAGAGCAATGGCGTAGGTGCAAGGGTCAGGGGTATGCCCAGGGATCCCTGCCGGCTCCAGGCAGGTTTTCGGATGGCCCTTCTGCAGCGCCCATGCCCCGCACACGACCCAGGGCAGGAGCAGGCAGGGCAGGCAGGGGCAGGCAGGGCAGGGGCGCGAGGGGCAGGCAGGGGCAGGCAGGGCAGGGGCGCGAGCAGGGCAGGCAGGGGCGGGCAGGGCAGGGGCGCGAGGCATAGCAGGCACTGCCTGTAAGCACCTGCGCTTCTTCAAGCTCCCGTGCCATGGAGGAGCCGGGCCCAGCAGTGCACTTAGTGGCAAATTCACAAAAATAGTTTACTCGCTTCTAATTAGGGCATTCGAATTAGTCCATTGGCATATCTGGAGCACCAAACATGTGAGTTTGCATTTTTTATCACTCACAAAATGGCTGTCCGGGCCTGCTCCTTTAGCCATGCTCTTCCCCACAGCCCTTTCCCAGGCCAGGGTGCCAGAGCAGATGCTGCAGACGCAGGCTGCCAGCACGTCGATGCACACGAATCCTGCTCACCTCTGGGCACACCCGCAGGCTTTGCTGAGAGATGACGATGTATACAGCTGACGAAGAATGTTTTTTATTTCTTCACACCTTTTCAGATGCCCAAAAAGCGTGAGCCCTGTTGAATTCGCTATGCATCTCTTAACACTTTCCATTCCCGCTGAGGTAATCACATCGGGATGTTGGTCTGTTGCTGCCTGGGACCCAGCAGATCAGCCTGGTGAGCACCCACGCTATGCCGTGGTGACGTACAGAAGGCAAAGCGGGTACAGCAGAAATAAGGCATAAAAATAAAACCCTGCAAACAGCAAACGAAATGTGAGAAAATGACCGGCTTGTGTATCTTTGCGTCCTGCTTGAAAATAAGGATCGCTCATTGTAAAGCAAAAGTCAGTGCTCGCATCATGCTGTTGATTTAAAAGGTCCATTTGTTAGCGAACCAGTATCGGCGCTCCACAGCCTACTGGGCAGGAGGGGCGGACGGCGTAGGGCACAGAGGCACGGCCACCGAGCCCGAGCAGCTGCGAGGAAGGGCTGATCCTGGCCTGCCTTCTCCGGACCACCCGCACCTGCGAGAGGCTCCTGCGCTTGCTGGGCCGATGTGATTATTTATTTCAGTTTTCCTAAGAGGCAAAATGCGTGGTATGTATTTTAGCGTGAGCAATCATTTTCAGGAAATATTCAATGATAATTTAATCGGCCACTGGGTGTCACCCTTAATCTGAGAAAAAGGCAAAATTTAAGTTTACGAGATTGTAATTTAAGAAAATATTTCTTTTCTCACAGTTAAGAAATGAAGCTGTTCCCTGTGTCTTACCTTCTATCACCAAGTCAGATCCTGTCATGCACAGAAATGTGCTCTAGGATTCAAGACTGATCTTTATTTCTCT